TTTCTCTGGACTCGGGTGATAATCCCTCTCTCGACCGTCCTCTCACCCGGGGTAATTTTCTCCGGATTACCACCAGCAGAGAGAGAGAGAGAGAGGAGAGAGAGAGAGAGAGAGAGAGAGAGAGAGAGAGAGAGAAAGGTTAAGTTAATTTATGTTAAGGGTAGGTTAAAGTTACTTAGTTTAGTTTAGATTAGTGCAGGTTAAGACAGGTTAAGTTAGTTTAAGTTTGTTTAGGTTAGGTGAGGTTAGGTTTAAAAGTAGGTTAGGTTAGGGTAGATTAGGTTAAGGTAGTGTTAGGTCAGTGCAGTTTAAGATAGATTTAGTTAGGTTAATGTAGGTTCAGGTTAAGTTAGCAAAGGCCTGGTTAGGTTAGGGAGAAGTTAAGTCAACATTTGGGTATCTATAAACATTTGTAAAATATAAACTCATTTCCTCTTCCCTGTTTATATTCACTCATTCCAAACACATTTATTTACATTTTCTGTGCCGTATTAATCCCCACTTCCCAATGTTAGCTACACAATCTATCTATGTATTCATTTTCTAATTCATCTGACTATTTAATTTATTCATGCAACACCCAATTAAGGTTTCGTCAGGGATAATCTTCATGAATATCGGTGTTGCAACTTTGGCCTGGGGAATATTTTCATGTATTTAATGTTGCAATTTTGGTCTGGGAAATATTTTCATGTATTTAATGTTGCAATTTTGGTCTTGGGAAATATTTTCATGTATTTAATGTTGCAATTTTGGTCTTGGGAAATATTTTCATGTATTTAATGTTGCAATTTTGGTCTGGGGAATATTTTCATGTATTTAATGTTGCAATTTTGGTCTGGGGAATATTTTCAAGGATTTAATGTCGCAACTTTGGGTCTGGGGAAAATCTTCATCAATTTCGGTATTGCGATTTTCCCTGACTTTCATTCCTGCATTCAATGGATTACAATAGTTACTTCCCCCGTTCCATCTGTTTTCGCAATGGTTGCTCTGACCCATGTTGCAAGCAGATTATATCTTGCTTGCATTAACGTTTCTCTCTTTGCATCCTTTCCTATGTTTTTTTATTTTCAACATTGAATATTTTTCCCTTGCAAGGTTAGGTTAGGTTAGGTTAGGTTAGGTTATATTAAGTTAGAGTTAGGTTATATTAAGTTAGGGTTAGGTTATATTAAGTTAGGGTTAGGTTGGGTTAGGTTAGGTTAGGTTAGGTTACGCTAGATTAAGTTAGGATAGGTTAAGTTTGCTTATATTAAGTTAGTTTAGATTAAGTTAGCTTCTTCCTCTTAGTCTAACTCCTCCACCTTAACATTTATCACAATAACAATGTTCTCTCCTACTAACTAGAGTTCTATTTCTAAGTTATTATTATCATTATTCCTGTGTTTTTCATCCAAGCAGAACAAACCCTCTTACTATGATTGGTTTGTTATTGCACAGTGATTAACGTTTTGCAGTGGTTGTTACAATGTTATTTCTAAAGAATTATGTTGTCTCGTGTTCTTATTCTTCACCTATAGAACAAATGTTATATTGTTATTCTGTTCTCGGTGCATTTGAGAAGAGAATGACGTCACGATATCGGTAGACTATCGGGTAGAGGATGACGTAATTGGTATTATTGTTGGAGGATGACGTCATTAATATTAGAGGATGACGTCATTAATATGGGTACATTAACAGGAGGAGAATGACGTCATTGATATCGAGATATTAATTAACGGGTAAACGATGACGCCATTGGTATTGGGACGTTAACGGGTAGGGAATGACTCCATGTTCCTCAGATGACCACGAAAAAAATAGACCCGTTAAATATGCCTCCCCTTCCCAGAAAACTAACACAAGTCACTTTCATCAGCCCCCGGGTGAAAGCTATAACTAATTGCTTGTTAAGCTTCCAGTGAATGTTTTTCCTAGCTTTTAATGTTGACGCTAGAATAAACACGCGTAACGCAAAAATGTTTTCTCCTCGTAAATATTCTGCTAATTTTTGTTGTTATTTCAAACTTTTTTTGTGTGTTTTTTTTAAATGTTTTTAATCGTTTTTTTATTATAAATAATTTTTTCTAAAGCTCTGTTATGATGCCCCCTCCAAACCCCCATCTCTCCCTCCTACTCTCTCTTACTCTTCTCTCCTTTTCTCCAACCGCCTCCCCCTCCCTCTCCTTCTCTCTCTTATCCTCTTTCCACCTCCCTCTCCCCCCACTCCTCTCCTCTCTTATCCCTCTTTCCTCCCTCTCCCCCGTCGCACTATAGCTGCCATATTGAGGTGAAAGGTATGCTGACATTCTTTCAATTCTTTAATTTTAATTTTTTTCATATTCCTTTACCTTCCCCCACCTTCCCCCCCTCCCCCCCCTCCCCTGGTGACGCGGTGTTTACCTGACCTATATATAACCCCTCCCACATGTGTTAAAATAGTGTCTTATATTTCTTTTAATTAATTTCCGTCTACAATATCATATCTTTTCTTTTATTTCCATTTATTTTTATTCTCTTATTTCCCTTATTATCGGTTTATATAGTTTTCAATTAACCTATATCCTTCTCCCCTACAGTGCTGGAATTATCGTATTTTCTGTCTAATTTCCTCGTTTATTCTCTCTATTCTGTGTCTTATTCTCTATTTATTTTATTATTTTCTTGGATATATTTGCTAAACTCTTCATAGTATTTTTTTATGAACCGACGTGGAGTATTTTTCTCGCTTGTATAAAGTGTAAAAAAAATAAAATAAAATACAAATATTTCTACATTTGGTATGTTTAATTTTTCATTCTTTCATTCATTCTTTCAATCTTCTAATTCTTCTTCATTATCATCATCATCATCATCATTTTCTTCTCTTTCATCATCATCATCATCATCAACCCACGTATTATTTCTTGTTGCTTATTCCATCATTATCCCAACATTGCCAATTCCATCTTCGATAACTTTTCCACTCCCGGATGCAAATACTCCTACATTTGCCCTTCTATGCCTTTCATACTTTCCTCACCTCATTACCTGGCCAAAATATCACCTTCCACTTACCTTAATTTTTTTTCCTTCCTTGTGTTTTTCGTCCAGGATAGTCGTGGCAGCCTCACTGTACCGCCTGGAAAAGAAAAACAATAATTTAGTGTGTTTTTTTTCCGAGGTGTATTGGAGGCCTCTGTCTTTGTACCGCCTGGGAAAAGAGATACGATAATTTGGTGTGTGCTATTTTTTCATAGGTGTATTGAGGTTTTAGTCTCTGTACCACCTGGGAAGAAAAGACACGTTAGTTGGGTTTTTTTACAGATGAACTGGGGGTCTTTGTCTTTGTACCACCTGGGAAAAATACATAATACTTTTTAGGCGTTGGAATATCTCTTAGCACCACCTAGGAAAGGAAATATGATATCATGGCATTATTTTACCTTGTCTCTGTACCACCTGTGAAAAATAAAATGATAATATTACATTTTTAAAGTGTATGAGTGTATGGGTGTAAATGGGACTGCCCATACTGGGCAGTCCCATTTACACCCAACCACTATTGCTCATATATCTATCCAACCTATGTTTGAAGCTATCCATCGCATTCGTGTTAATGATGATACTTGGTAACTTGTTCCATTCATCCACTACTCTATTTCCAAACCAGTGTTACGAGTTACGAGTTCGCTCCTGGTTGGATAGTTTGAGTACCTTTGTTATGTCCCCTTTGTTTAGCCCTGACTTCCATTTATTCACCTCTATCAGGTCGCCCCTCGCTCTACGTCTCTCGAGGGAGTGCAAATTAAGATGCTTTAACCTGTCTCTATACTCAAGGTTCCTAATGCCCGGGATTAGCCTTGTCATTCTCCTCTGAATTCTTTCTAGGAATTCTATATTTATCCATTCTGTAATACGATGACCAGAATTGAACTGAGTAATCCAAGTGAGGTCTTACAAGCGCAAGATATAATTTCAGGGTGACCTCGCTAGTCTTGTAACTAAGACTCCATTGTATGAACCCAAATACCAAGGTCAAGGATGTATTGTAGGAAGCACAAATAAACGACAAATATCACTACACTAACCATACTTACCCTATTAATACACACAATACATACAAGTAAACATGTATTCATCAAGACCAAACGTAGAGCGTCAATACTTCTATAATTAAAAAAGTTCAATGGTCCAATGCCACTATTCAGTACATAATGACGTAGAAACTATAAATAAACACCAGAAAATCGCTACACATATACAAAACCAATATACATACATACACTCACCAATACCACCTATTATAGCATCTATCATTCAATAACTCCTAAAGGTCAAAGGTCAGATATAAAAATAGGATATCTTATCAAGCCTAAGTTGCTATCTCGCTCTTGTGTTATGTCTTATCTTATTTATCTCCATCATCTATCTATCTCTATCTCTCTCTCTCTCTCTCTCTCTCTCTCTCTCTCTCTCTCTCTCTCTCTCTCTCTTCTTTTTCTTTTTAGGAGTTAGAGATTGATATATCTGTGAGGGCTGTGTTGTTCTTGTGATTAATTCAACTGTGTGTGTGTGTGTGTGTGTGTGTGTGTGTGTGTGTGTGTGTGTGTGTGTCTGTGTGTGTGTTTGATATCTTCTTTAGTTTTTCTTTCTCTGTCTGTCCGTCCTCTCTTCTCTGTTTTCTGTAATCTATTGGTTCAAATTCACAACCTCTCTCTCTCTCTCTCTCTCTCTCTCTCTCTCTCTCTCTCTCTCTCTCTCTCTCTCTCTCTCTCTTTCTCTGTCTCTGTCTCTCTCTCTCTCATCGGATCACATTTAAAACTTATCTCCCAAAGCTCTATATTTCACTATCTCTCACATTTAACATTTATTTGGCAACATTTATCTCTCACCTTCTCACTTGCCTCCCCTAATTTCTCTCTCACTCTCCACCACCTCACCTACGCTCCCCTAATGTCTCTCCACCATCTCACCTACGCTCCCCTAATGTCTCTCCACCATCTCACCTGTCTACCCCATTCTCTCTCCCTCAGGTGTCATGGGTTCGTCACAGAGACATTCACCTACTGACGGTGGGGCGGTTCACCTACACGTCAGACCAGCGGTTCTCAGCACGTCACTCAGCCGGTTCAGAAGACTGGCTCCTGATGGTTCACTACCTGCAGGAGCGAGATGCCGGCCCCTACGAGTGCCAGATCTCCACCACACCACCTATGAGTCACCTGATTCATCTGGCTGTTGTAGGTGAGTGTACACATGTTCAGGTGAGTGTCAGATTTCCTCAACACCTTAGAAACACACACACACACACACACACACACACACACACACACACAAACATAAACCATCATTCAAACATTTCCCCCAAAAGTTTTTACCACATGACATTGATCATCGACAAAAATTATATCACACTACAAAATATTACTACTACATTACACAATATGTTTCAATAACACCTCACTAAACATTAACATTTCTATAACACAATTCTAAACATTACCATCTCATAACAATGCACTAAACAATAAAACAAAACAAATTACTACCACACAACACTTAAAACATATATAAAAAAAAACACACAAACATCACATTGGCCCAGATAATCGTTGCCAGATCCACTCTCCCCCACCACCACCAACCCCTGGCGAAAAACTGATCCAATATCCCAGATAGTATCGGTAAAGGGTGTGCTGTCCGCGCTGGTAATAGTGTCATCGGGTCCCAACAATATTCCCTGATCACACGTACGTATTAATTCGAGTTGTTGGTTCAAATTCAACTCGATGTATTCTGAAATCCAGTACCAAGCATTGGAAATTTATTCTCGTTAGATAGATTCGCTTTTGTTTGTATAATATTGTAGATTCGTTTTTGTTTATAAATTATTCAGAGAGAAATACAAGGGGCGAATTTCATATCATTTATACAAAGATAATAACACAGGCAGACGATATTTATACACGACATCAATTCATATTAAAATGATTTACATATAGATGACGAAATAGGCACACCCCACCCCCCCCCCAAAAAAGAGAGATAAATATTCATTCTTGTTTCATTTCAAGTTTAATATTTATTCTCAGTTTGAAATTCAGATGCAATTTTATTAATTTATTCAAAAGTACAGGTAGGTAGGTAGGTAGGTAAGTAGGTAGTAGGTAGGTAAGTAGGTAGTAGGTAGGTAGGTAGGATATTCAGTTTTGTTATACTTCAAATTAAAAAAAATATATATATATAACCACTGCAGATAACGACAATACATATTGGAAATTTACAATCCAATAAAATTATATATACACGAATACCAAACAAAGACACAATTAGTAAGCCAATTGGAATTAAATATAATTAAATACACATAAATACCATTAAAAGCAAGATATTAGTTATGTCATATTTGAAAAGTAATTAATTTATCCAGGAACACTTGTACAGGTAGAGTGGTTTTAATTAACCATCTATTGCTGAACATACAGGTGACACATACCTCACCCAACGTATAAACACATATAGGTATTAAATAGAGCTGATCATAAGCTCTAAAGTTATCTATAATTAATCCTAACAAACTTAAACTTCACGATCTAATTAATCATTCTTATAAATTATTATCCTAACCTCGTTAATTATCATAACCCTTATAATTAACTTAACGATATAATTAGCATAACAAGGACATAATAACTTTTTAAAAATAAATACCTTCAATTAACATACTAATTACCTTAACAATCTTATCAACTACTTTCACAAGCTAATTAATTTACATAACAAGTTGTTTTCAATCACCCTAATGACCTTCTTAATTAGCCAAAAAACTTGATTACCCAACTACATTTACTTACCTTCATAGTCTTATTAACTACACTCAAGGTTAATAATTACCTGATCAAGATAATTAATGACCTTAACGAGCTCATTAATTACCGGCACCTTACAACATGCGGGGAGACAAAAAGGCTGTTTAATTCTTGTTGTTTACTTGTCTCTCTCTCTCTCTCTCTCTCTCTCTCTCTCTCTCTCTCTACTCCTCTCGGTAAACAACACGAAGGAACATTAAGATTAATAATTCCTAGTTACATTATCGGTAAAATGACGTATTTACTTTCCTTAAAATCGTCACCTTTTTTTTTTACGATACAATTAGTGAATAAGATAAATAATAATGCCTTTATATAATAATTAAACACTCGGTGAAAGAATATTTGATTTTTTAATAGAACTGAAGTATTGTATTTCGACATTTTTTTTACTACATAATGCAGACATTTTTAACTTACGTAAAATTCTCCCATTATTATCATACAGCATACAAAATACACAACATACATCATACATACTACGCAATATACATCATACACAAACACATCATACATACTACACAACACACATCATACTCAAACACATATCTTACATCAAACACAACATACATCATACATACTACGCAATATACAACATACACAAACACATATCTTACATCAAACACAACATACATCATACATACTACGCAATATACAACATACACAAACACATATCTTACATCAAACACAACATACATCATACATACTACGCAATATACAACATACACAAACACATATCTTACATCAAACACAACATACATCATACATACTACGCAATATACAACATACACAAACACATATCTTACATCAAACACAACATACATCATACATACTACGCAATATACAACATACACAAACACATATCTTACATCAAACACAACATACATCATACATACTACGCATACATACTACACAACACACATCATACACACAACACATATCTTACATCAAACACAACATACACATCATACATACTACATATACATACATCATACAAACACATATCTTACATCAAACACAACATACATCATATACTACACACACACATCATACATACTACACAACACACATCATACATACTACACACACATCATACTCAAACACATATCTTACAACATACACAAACACATATCTTACATCAAACACAACATACATCATACATACTACGCAATATACAACATACACAAACACATATCTTACATCAAACACAACATACATCATACATACTACACAACACACATCATACATACTACACAACACACATCATACTCAAAAACAAATCATACACAACACAATCATACATAATGCACAATAAACAAACAAACACCTGTAAACAAATCTATTATACACTAGAGGTAGACAGACACATTGTTTACACTTAGAACTACAGTGTGTCATATGTCAGTGGAAAATAAAAGTCTCATATTACCATGAAATAAAATACTATCATATCAGTAATTCTTTTATCTAGAAACTTTTATTCTTTTATCGTAACAACATTTCCTCGATATATTTCACACACAAAAAAAAATCCTATTCCTTGTTATTATAATATATATAAATTATATTAAAAACGGAGAGGAATTTTCTCCCCATATTATTTATTTAATGAAAGCAAATACTCTTTTAATTTTCTATATTTTCGAATTTTTCTATGGAATTTCAAAATATGAGCATTGAAATTTAAGCTTTACTGGAAAAAAATATATAAAACTCTTAGAAATTAAGCTTTAATGAAAAAATATATACCCCAAAATATATATATATAAAAAAAAAAAGACCCTCAAATCACGTGTTATTTTTCCAGGAGTATTAAATTAAACATCTATATTTGTCATAAGTAATTAAACTACGATGACGGGAAGGAATGTCGTATTTTTTCCCCCCTTAAACCAAGATTTATTCTATTTAATTAGAGACTTGTAAATTAATTATATGGTAGACAGATGAAAAAAAATGGAATAAATTTATGTTTAATGTTTATTTGACTCGTATACCTGTCCACTATTTTTATTTGTTCTCTTTACTCTTTTATTCTGTTCATTTGGTTATTCTGTTCTCCCGCTCTTCCTTTCTCTCTCTATTCTCTTCTTCTCTCTTAACTCTCACCCATTTATTCCTGTTTCTTGTCTTATTTCTATTATTTACTCATGCTCTTCCTCTTCTTCTCCTTCTATTCTTTACTCATGTTGTTACTCATTCATTCGTTTTCCTCTTCTCTATAGCACCTCTTCTCTCCCTCCTCTTCCTCCTCTCCCCCACTCACTCCAACACATTCACCCTCTACTCTCTTCTTCCTCCCTCTCTCACTTCAACTCACTCTTTCTCTTCTCCTACTCTTCTTTCTCTCATCACCCCCACCACCCACCCCCTCTCTCACTCTCTTCTCCTACTCTTCTTTCTCTCATCACCCCCACCACCCACCTCCCCTCTCTCACTCTCTTCTCCTACTCTTCTTTCTCTCATCACCCCCCACCACCCACCTCCCCTCTCTCACTCTCTTCTCCTACTCTTCTTTCTCTCATCACCGCCACCACCCACCTCCCCTCTCTCACTCTCTTCTCCTACTCTTCTTTCTCTCATCACCGCCACCACCCACCTCCCCTCTCTCACTCCAAGCCACTCACTCTCCCCTTTTACTCTTCCTACTCTCACCAGGGTCTCTTACTCTCCCCCAGAGCCAGAGACAGTCATCCAGGGAGGACCAGATGTTTACATAAACACGGGGAGTCGACTGGCTCTTACCTGTAGTGTCAAATACAGCCCCGAGCCACCTGCCTTCATCTTCTGGTACCACGACGATAAGGTGAGTTGGTTTCTTTCTTTCTTTCTTTCTTTCTTTCTTTCTTTCTTTCTTTCTTTCTATCTGTCTTTCTTTCTTTCTCTGTAACGCCTTTTCTTTTTTCCCCTATTCTCTCTCTCTCAATTGTTGTTTTTATCTCTCTCCGAAATACCTTCTCTCTCTCTCTCTCTCTCTCTCTCTCTCTCTCTCTCTCTCTCACTTGCTCACCCTCACTCTGTCTCCTCTCTCTCTCTCTCTATCTCACATATAGAAAGACGTAAGTTAAAATTCCCACTCTCCTATAAGTGCTAGGTACTTACTATAATGCTATGTACTTACTATAATGCTATGTACCTTCTATAATACTATGTACCTACTATAATACTATATACCTTTTATAATACTATGTACTTACTATAATGCTATGTACCTTCTATAATACTATGTACCTACTATACTACTATATACCTACTATACTACTATATACCCGCTATTCTACTATGTACCTACTATACATCTACCTGTCTGCTATACTGCTATTAGCGACCGTCTGTCTATTATTGAGAAACCATTATGCAGAGTCTTCCCGTCTCACCATCCGTCAACACTATCAAAGGTGTCGTCTGTTCATAATTCATCGCCATAGCCAGGTCAACAAACTCATCATTCTTACACACACACACACACCCACACACACACACACACACCCACACACACACACACACACACACACACACACACCATAAGACCCTGTTGTGTCTTCAGGTATACAATTTGCTATTATAGTCTCCCTGTGTGTGTGTGTGTGTGTGTGTGTGTGTGTGTGTGTGTGTGTGTGTGTGTGTGTGTGTGTGTGCCAAAGATCAATGTGAAAGTGTAGTAAATGTCTGTTTCTAAATATGTATGTATGTATGTATGTATGTATGTATGTATGTATGTATGTATGTATCATCAAATAGTACCCCTCGTTGCTATATATAATAATACCATAACAACGAACCAAAACCAATAAAAACAAATTCCTACCACAATCAGCTACCAAAAACCAACACCACAACATTCCTACCACAATCATCAACGAAAATCCACCACCACACATTCCTACCACAATCGTTTATCTACATGTATTAAAAAAAAAACACACACACACACATAGACAAAGCGCAGAGGGGGTCACACAGTAATTTAAGGGGTAGTTGTCTCAAACACGAGCGTTGATTGGCTGGCTTGTAAAGATCCAATTAGCCAATTATACTGTGAGTTATATCATGTAATACTAGGGAGAAGGTCACTGTAAAACCCGTCTAGTATTACAAACGGGAATGGAGGATTAAGGGCCTTCTCCCCACCCCCCCTTTAGTATTAGATAGAGGGGATAAAGGGGTACAATAATGGGAGGGAGGGGGTAAAGGGGGGGAGGGGTCACGTTAGGAACTAGAGTACTTTCTTTCTCTCTCTCTCTCTAACCCCTTTCACTCACTCCTTCTCTACTACCTCCTTCTCACTCACTCCCTCTCTACCTCCCTCCCACTCACTCCCTCTCTACCTCCCTCCCACTCACTCCCTCTCTACACCCCCCCTATCACCCACTCCCTCTCTACCTCCCTCCCACTCACTCCTCTCTACACCCCCCTATCACCCACTCCCTCTCTACCTCCCTCCCACTCACTCCCTCTCTCCCACAGCTGGTGAGTTACGAGCGTCGGCCTGGTGATGTAGTAGTGAGCACCGAGACAGGGTCGGTCACCACGTCGAGGCTGTTGGTACAGTTTGCTGAGCCGCGTCACACAGGTCTCTATACCTGCTCCCCTGCTAACTCAAAGCCCCAGAGTGTTAATGTTCACGTCATTGCAGGTAATTGTTTTTGTTTGTTTTGTTTCTTTGTTTTACCGTTTTATACTTGTCGTTTATTATAGGTAATTGTTTTTATATATATATATATATATATATATATATATATATATATATATATATATATATATATATATATATATATATATATATATATATATATATCTCCTTTGTTACACTAATTAAATACCGAAATATAGATGACCTATTTTGAATATTAACTTTCTAATCACAATATTTACCTGTATAAACAAGTAATCAAGAAAGACAATCAACTTTCTTCTTTTATTGTTAGTCAGTAGAGGTATATAATAAAAAAATAGGTTGTTTACTTTAGAAAAAATACGTTATTACTTTTATATTCATTTTTTATAACCTGCAAACACACCTGGCTTATAACCTTCATATAGGTAAACAATGATTTTTTTCTCTCCCTACCCTACCCCCCTCCAGGTGATCAGCCAGCGGCCATAGTGCACGAGAATAACAGCGGTGCGGGGACGTTACTGATCCCCTTCCACCGCTCTGTCTTCCTCAACCTCCTCACCCTCCTCACCCTCCTCTTCCTCCTCACGGGGGAATGGTGAGGGTAGCTTCCTGGATCCATAGTCTTCTTTCTATAATTTTTCCTCTCTTAATTTTTTTTTTTTACGAGGAATGGTAAGGATTTCCTCCACTTCCTTCCTCCTGCTCCTCCTCTTCCTTCCTCCTTCTCTTCCTCCTGCTCCTTTTCCTTCCTCTTCTTGCTTCTCCTCTTCCTCCCCCTTCCTTTCCACCCGTTACATACACCTTTGAGGCCAACTGCTGGACATGTGCACGAAGATATGTGGACATGGAAGTGTACATACTGGATACGTACACACCCACCTCAGCTACCTACTTCTGGATACGCACGCGGGAAGATGTGGTCATGTACTTAATAGGATATGCACAAGACGCTCCTATATGGCCTACTTTTGGACATGTATATGGTGATATGTGAACATTTATGTGTTGATGTATATATAAGTACATATTATACCGAATTCGTTTCTGATGTCCATTTTTAACCAAGGATATTAAATGATTGTATCGACATATACTGTACAGGTAGACATTTAGCTCCCGTTGTCTAAAATCCACTTCTGGACATGAATTCAAGATGTGGACACGTCGAGTGGGATACATTAATGGGACATGCGTGTTTGGGTGTTTGTGAAAGTGTAAAAGTGCACTCTGTGTTGTGAATTATGATGACGTCACTTCCGTAAACAAAAGATCCTCGCATGTATGACGCCACCTAAAGAAATGAGCATCACAGTGTCTGACGTCATATACATGTGTAAGTGAGCATCACATCTGTGACGTCACCTAAGCAAATGAACATTGGTGAATAACATTATCTGTATAAACAAATGAGCATCATAGAATATGCAAGGCGTCACATTACAGAAACAAGTGACTATCGCAGTGACGTCACAGAGATAAACAAAACATGACCGTAGCATCAACTATTTCTTCTTCCTCTGGAAAGTACTGTAATAGTTCATCGATAAAGAAAGGTTTTGTACGTAACATAAGATTCTCAATTGACTTATGACGACACGATAATAAAAAAAAATGAGGGTGAAAAACCTACCTGAAAAATTAATGTAAATATTACTAATGTCAACAACATGTGGCAGTAGAGTAAGTGATAAATGACCAGGACACGATGTAATAAATGTAGGCCTATCTTGTTTTGGGGTTTCTACTTATACGTTCAGACATCTTGAGAAAATATAAAGTTGCGACTCGATTTCTTTTACACAAACTGTTCTTTAATTGATGAAGTGAGAGATAATGATATAGATAACACTTAAAGACATATAATTGTAACTGACGCTGTAACTTTAATGTCTTGTGTAACAAATGTATTAATTTTATGTTTATTATGTATTTTGTATTTGTATTTATACGTCTAAAGAAACAGAGTTACGTATTACAGGTATGTTTTATAACACCTGTGAAGGATAATTTTGACATACATACATACATACATACATACAGACATACATACATACATACATACATACATACATACATACATACATACATACATACATACATACATACATACATACATACATACATACACACATACATACATACATGTGTGTCCACGAAAATTTGACCTCTGAACCACGAGTCGAGGCCTTATAAAATTGACCCCTGAACCATAACCGAGAGCTAAAAATTGGACCATTGACCCAAGAGGTGTCAAGGATGTGAACTTGACCTGACCTGACCTGACCTGACCTGTGTACAGTCGCTGTAGATAGCTTGTGTTAGGGATAGAATTACTGGTTGGTCATAACTACCTTGTCAAGTGTGAAACGATTTTGCCATGATTTGTTTTAAGTCTTGTAATTTTAAGACGAGCTTTAATTATTTTTTCTTCAATTTTCCCTAAATTTCAAAAGGCTCAAATTATTGTCTTAACGTTTCTTGAATATAATAAGATTTATTTTGTATTATTTTAATTATTTTCTAATGTAATAAAAGCAATTTATTTTAATTTATTATTTTGTAAAAGTAACAATATTTCTATATTTTTCCTCTTTTAAATCGTCTTTTAAATTAATTAAATATCATTATCATTGTATATTTAATTTAATCTAAACAAATTAATGACTTCGTGACCAACAATAACAAAATTACTCATTAATATTTTCACTTACTTTTACACTATAACCTACAGTACTCTTACACTTCACCTTACACTTCAAAACCAATTCTAAGTTAAAAAAAAAAATAAAATAAATAAGAATAACCAGGCTTTTCACTTTGAGTGTGGCAGCAACATTACGACTACACAATTCACAGTCTGGGAATACAACTGACATTGTGTATTTCCCGAGAGGCTAAAGAGAATTACTCGTGTTCAGAGTTTGTGCCAGAACTTATAAGTGTATTTACTGTATTTTGTGAGGGTACAGTAAAGTGGCACGGTACTACGACGTGTTGTAAGTAATTTAGTCATTTACTTATTCACTTAACAGAATACTTACATGATTTATATTAACCGTACTATACGTTGTAAGTAATATATTTATTGATTTAATTAAGGAACTACTTATATGATCTGTTGATTGTAATTTATCTCTTTACTTACGAGATAATTTATATGAGTAATAATTTTAATACTTGTCTCAGTGTTACTAGATAAATAATAAGTAATTTATTTATCTAATTATATAGTTTATGGATATATTTAATTATTATCTGAAATATATATCTCCTTATATTAAAAAATACATAATATACTTAAATAATACTTTTAATAACTCTAATAGTATGTTATGAGAAAAGAAATTAAAATAATCTTTGTTGTATAATTATTTAAGACTCAGTAATTAACACAAATTAATTAAGATTCAATATACAATTAACAATAATTAATTAAAAGACTCCATAAATAACATAAATTATTTAAAAGTTTACATAATTACCATGAACTAATTAATCTCATAATTACAATAACACCTGTAAACCGTTTACCTTCCTGAACAACCTGTAAATTACGTACCATTCTACAAGACTCAATTAGCTCACGTGTAAATGGTCTATCTTTGTGTAAACTAATATTTACATTTAACCAAGTAGAGTTGTAAATGGAATGTAGTTTACAGCACAAAGTATAACTGACCTTCTATCTTCTGTTTACACCTGTTTACATTTTGGTTAACAGTAAACTCTCTCATATTGTTTACATATAGCTTGATCTCCTGTAAATATTGTAAATAAATGTATTTGTCCAATTATATATTTTTGTAAAATAAAGTAACAATTTGGCCAGAAGTGTTTTATTTATTTATTTTTTTTGTATATCTTATTTAATATTACTATTAATATATTACGAGACCTTTAGATGGACTTTTTTGTTTTACAATTACCAATAGAAGCCTGTTTGTCTGTATGTCTGTCTGTCTGTTTGTCTGTCTTGTATGTCTTGTCTGTCCAGAAAGACTCACGACAGGGCCAGGATGGTCATAGTTGGCACGATCATCTCCCCCTGCCTTAGGAGTGTCAAGGTCAAGTGCCATTATGGTGATCACTGACCTTTACTTATCACCCTTTATGGCCCACTAAATAAATGGGCGTGGACCATTAATTTTCCCAACGATGTCTGTCTGTCTGTCCGTACTCTCTCTCTCTCTCTCCACCAGTACAGTAGCCAGCCAGTCTTCAGCTCTATGGATTATTTGACCATTACTCAAGGTAACATCGTCCATACATTAAGATGTGATAGATAATCTCTCTCAGGCGTCGGGTCTCTCATTTGTCTCTCTCTGGGCGTGTCTACTTGAGGACAGAGAGGGAGAAAAAGTGGTAGATAGAGACAAAGTGAGAGGGAGATAGAGAGAGAGGGGGGGAAGGAGACAAAGAGAGAATAATAGAGGGACACGTAAAGAAAGGAGAGAGAGAGAGAGCGAGATAACGAGACAGAAACAGAGAGAGGGGGAAATAGAGAGAATGAAGGAAATATAGATAGATAGATCGATAGATAGATAGGTAGGGAGAGAGAGAGAGAGAGAGAGAGAGAGAGAGAGAGAGAGAGAGAGAGAGAGAGAGAGAGAGAGAGAGAGAGAGAGAGAGAGAGAGAGAGAGAGAGAGAGAGAGATAACATCAGTAGAAATATTAATAACAACAACAACAATACCTTCAGCAATAACAATAATACCAACAATAACAACAGCAAGAACATTCCGTAATAACGACAACCGCAGTAAGAACATTAATAACAGCAGTAAAAGCAGCAGTAATAAACGAAACAATAACAGCAACAGCACCAATAACAGCAACAGCACCAATAACAGCACCAATTATAACAGCTATGCAGGTAGTCCTCCTGTAACCGTTGCTGTACTCTTATTTCCAACAGTAACTAATGTACAGTACACATTATAATTGTACTCTCAGATTACTGCTGTTAATTGTACAAAGATGGCGTCCTCTTTACTGCCTGTTGTGTGTGTGTGTGTGTGTGTGTGTGTGTGTTATACGGAGGACCCTTTAACCTTATTTGAGATAGGTAGCCCAGGAGGAAGGAAAGAGAAGAGAGGAGGGGGAGGAAGAGGAGGATGAGAGGAGGAAGAGGAAGAAGGAGGAGGAGAAGGAAGAAGAACACAATGAATTAAGAGGATCCCATGACTGTGGTATATGAGGCGAGAGAAAATTCCTCCTTCCTTTCCTTCCCCCTTCCTTCCCCTCACCCCCCTTCCCATCCCCTTCCTTCCCCCACCTCCCCCCCCCCCTTCCTTCCCTCACCCTCCCCTTCCCCTCCCTATCTCCCTCCTCCTCATCCCTAAACCTCTTTATCCTGCAAATCCTCTCCCATCTCCCACCATCTCATCCCACACACACAACACTCCCCTCCCTCCTCCTCCCCTTCCCTCCACTCTTCCCCTAGAACTTAACTTTACCTTCCCCACCTCAACATTAACTTTGTCTCATCTCTTCCCCCACCTTCCTCCCTCTCCTCCACCACCTCCTCCCTCCAGCCCCCTCCCTCCCTCCCCCTCCTCCCCCCTCCCTGCTCCCCCAGCCCCTCCCACACCTCTCCTCCTCATGCCCTCCTCCTCCTCCAGCCCCCTCCCACACCCTCCCCCACTCACCTTCCCTCCAGCCCCCTCCCACACCTCCCTCCCACCCCCCTCCCCCCCTCCCACACCTCCCTCCTACGCACCTTCCCTCCAGCCCCCTCCCACACCTCCCTCCCTCCTCATCTCCCCCCGATCTACCTCCTCCCTACGCACCTTCCCTCCAGCCCCCCTCCCACACCTCCCTCCTCCTCCTCATCTCCCCCCTCCCTCCTCCACCCCTCCAGCACCTCCTCTCAAGAGTTAAGAGCTATAGGTAAAAGCTATGGTCAACCCTCTCCCTCTCCCACGTTTCATTATCCCCACCTAAGTGAAGGCGGAGGAGGGGGGACGAGGAAGAGGAGGAGGAGGAGGAGGAGGGGGAACGAGGAGGAAGAGGAAGAAATAAAAGAAAAGGTGGAAGCAGAGGAGATGGAAGAGCAAGAGAAGAGGAAGAGGGGGAGGAGGAACAGTAGGAAAAGGAAATGAAGAAGGAGGAGAAGGAGGGAGAAGGTGAAGAAAGGTAGCTGGGGTGTGAAGACTTGGAAGAAAAGGAGGTAGAAGAGGGAGGAAAAAAATAAGCAGATAAGGGAGAAGAAGCAATAAACTCAAACAAATAAACTCACAGAAACAGTAAATTTAAACAAATAAACTTACAGAAACACTAAATAAAAAAAAAAATTAAACTCACGAAAACTGAAAATTCAAACAAATAAACTGACAAAAACAGTAAATTCAAACAAATAAACTCAACGAAAGAGTAAAGAAAAAACAAATAAACTCACAAAAACACTAAATTCAAACAAATAAACTTACAGAAACATTAAATAAAAAAAATTAATTAAACTCACGAAAACTGAAAATTCAAACAAATAAACTGACAAAAACAGTAAATTCAAACAAATAAACTCACAGAAAGAGTAAAGAAAAACAAATAAACTCACAAAACACTAAATTCAAACAAATAAACTCAGCAGAAACTAAATAAAAAAAATTAATTAAACTCACGAAAAACTGAAAAATTCAAAACAAATAAACTGACAAAAACAAAAATTCAAAACAAATAAACTCACAGAAACAAATCCATTTACAAACAAAACAAATAAACTCACCCCCGCCTTAAAAAAAAATTATTAGGAACAGACATATAAAGAATCTAATTAAAACCGGAGAGCCAAAGACTTGTCATATGATTTCTGTCCAATTTTTTCTAAACACCTATCGTGTAAGACACAAATTACTTGAAAGGCACACCAGTAATTAGTCAGGGAAGGAAGCGGAGGGAAGGAGGTGAAAGGAGGGAGGAGGAAGGAGGGGAGGGAGGGAGGGAGGGAGGGAGGGAGGGGAGGGGTGGAGGGAGAGAGGAGGGAAGGAGAGAGCAAGGGAGAAAAGAGGGACAGTGGGTGGGAAGAAGGAAGGGAGGGAGGAGAAGTATGAAAGAGGGTGGAGAGTGAGGAAATGAGGAGGGAGAGGAAGGGAAGGAAGGAAGAAGGAAGGAAGGAAGAAAGGAAGGAAGGGAAGGAAGGAATAAATGGAAGGAAGGAAGGAAGGAAGGAAGGAAGGAAGGAAGGAAGGAAGGAAGGAAGGAAGAAGAAGGAGGAAAGAAAAAGAGAAGTGATGGAGAAAAAAGACAAGTTGGAAGAAAAATAGAGAAAAAGGGAGGAAAATAAAAAAGAAAGAAGGACAAAAGAAGGAATGGAAGAAAGGAAGGACAAAAGCAAAATAAGTGAGCAAGGAGAGAATTATAAAAGGAAGGGGGAAGAGAAAGAGGTAAGACAGGAAGGGTTAAAGGAACAAGAGACGTGGATATATTACCTCATTAATATATCTCTCTCACCTGTCACTAATAGGCCACCAATTACCTGCTGCATAGATAGATAGATAGATAGATAGATAGATAGATAGATAGATAGATAGATAGATAGAGACAACAGTTCCAGGATGACAGTAAACAGTGGACGGGGATATCGGATCAAAACACCATTATATAAGATAAGTAGTGGATCAGCTGACGGGTTTGTTGACATGGTTGGTGTGTAGTGGATCAGCTGACGGGTTTGTTGACATGGTTGGTGTGTAGTGGATCAGCTGACGGGTTTGTTGACGTGGTTGGTGTTTAGTGGATCAGCTGACGGGTTTGTTGACGTGGTTGGTGTGTAGTGGATCAGCTGACGGGTTTGTTGACATGGTTGGTGTGTAGTGGGGATCAGCTGACGGGTTTTGTTGACATGGGTGGTGTTATTAGCCAGTGGATCAGCTGACGGGTTTTGTTGACATGGTTGGTGTGTAGTGGATCAGCTGACGGGTTTGTTGCGACTTTATGGTTGGTGTGTAGTGGACCAGCTGACGGGTTTGTTGAATGGTTGGTGTGTAGTGGATCAGCTGACGGGTTTGTTGACATGGTTTGGTGTGTAGTGGATCAACTGACGGGTTTGACATGGTTGGTGTGTAGTGGATCAGCTAACGGGTTTGTTGACATGGGTGGTGTTTAGTGGATCAGCTGACGGGTTTGTTGACATGGTTGGTGTGTAGTGGATCAGCTGACGGGTTTGTTGACATGGTTGGTGTGTGGTGGATGTGACGGGTTTGTTGACGTGGTTGGTGTGTAGTGGATCAGCTGACGGGTTTGTTGACATGGTTGGTGTGTAGTGGATCAGCTGAGGGGTTTGTTGACATGGGTGGTGTTTTAGTGGATCCAGCTGACGGGTTTTGTTGACATGGATTTGGTGTGTAGTGGATCAGCTGATGGGTTTGTTGACGTGGTTGGTGTGTAGTGGATCAGCTGACGGGTTTGTTGACGTGGTTGGTGTGTAGTGGATCAGCTGACGGGTTTGTTGACATGGTTGGTGTGTAGTGGATCCGTGACGGGTTTTGTTGGTATGGGTGGTGTGTAGTGGATCAGCTGACGGGTTTGTTGACATGGTTGGTGTGTAGTGGATCAGCTGACGGGTTTGTTGACATGGTTGGTGTGTAGTGGATCAGCTGACGGGTTTGTTGACATGGTTGGTGTGTAGTGGATCAGCTGACGGGTTTGTTGACATGTGGTTGGTGTGTAGTGGATCAATGACGGGTTTGTTGACATGGTTGGTGTGTAGTGGATCACTGACTTGGGTTTGTTGACATGGGTGGTGTTTTAGTGGATCAGCTGACGGGTTTATTGACATGGATTTGGTGTGTAGTGGATCAGCTGACGGGTTGTTGACATGGTTGGTG